CTGTATGACTTTATATTCTGCAGTTCTTCCCTGCTGTACCGAATATCTATACTTTTCAAATTATCATATTGAAGTTAGAAATTCAAATATTGTGACAATTTATTTTGTAGGGTGCCACAAGTTCGTTAAAATTTCCAAAGGGTGCCGTGACTAAAAAAAGGTTGGGAAACACTGATCTAAACCACCTGAAAAAAATAGCATTGCTATTTTAATGTAGCTTAATACTCCCAGTTGAGCAGAACTAGGTTGTAGTGTAGAAAACAGAGTCTTTCAGCATTCTGCCCAGTAAGCCTGCTTCGTTTGTTTTCATAAATGGCTCCGACTTCACTGATGACTCTCTCACTGGGCACCAAAGAAGGTGGGGGGCAAAGAAACTTACTTGACAGAGGAGCAAGAATGGGGAACCTTTTCTCATTTTGTTTCCAACATTCAAGTGGCTTGCCCATCCTTCTATCAATCACTGGTTCCAGAAGGTACTGCTGAAGCTCTCCTTCAAGGCTAGACCCAGCAACTTCAGAACTAGCGCCAAGCATAGTGTCATACATCTCATCAATCAGTTTCTTCTGGTTTTCTTCTGTCCGGGGCCTTTTTGAAAGGGTGCTAGGATCATCTGGCTGTGTTTCTTCACATTGTGTGGTTTGTGCATTGTCTTGCTCTAAGCTCTCTGTCTCCTCCTTAAGCCACTCTTTTGCATTTGACAGTGTGGTGTCAGATGAAAAGGCATGTGCCTTGTATCTTAGATCCAGAAGACGGGCAAGGATTGCACATTTCACCTCCTCCACTTTTGCAAACCGTCTGGTGAGACTCTCCAGCATCTCCTGTCTCATTGTTTTAATCCCATGAGAGGAGGGACCTTGGCTGCTGAGCAACATCTTCAGAACTTTGACAGATGGGATGATGCATGACGCTGAACTTTCGTAGTGGCTCATCTCAAGAGTGACCTCTTCCACTGGAGAAAGGGTGTCAATAAGATTACTGACAATATTCCACTGCTCAGCACTCAGGCTAGTGAACCCACCATGCTCACTGGCATATATGTTCAAAGCCCTTTTTTGCTCTAGCATCCTGACCAGCATGTGCAAGGTGGAATTCCATCGGGTTGGCACAGCCTGAATGATGGAATGTGCAGGTAGCCGAAGGTCCTGCTGGATCAATGCTAAACACTGTTTGGCTAGTAAGGAATGATTAAAATGGGTAGCACAGCTTTTCAGCACTGACAGAATATTTTGGACAGCTCTTTGTGAGTTGAGGCCATCATTGACAACAAGCTGTAATATGTGGGCACTGCAGCTCATGTCAGGCAGTTCAGCAATTCTCATACCTTTGACAATGTTAGCACCAATGTCCCTGAGAACAAGAACCTGTCTTTGTCAATTTCCCATTCTTCCAGCATTCCCAAGAACATCTCACTAATGTACTCCCCAGTGTGTGATCCAGTCATTGCTTTTGTGTTTAGAATGACTTGTCTGCGAATCCATTGATCATCAATGAAATGGCATGTGAGACTCATGAGGGATTCAATTGTACCGGACCAGCAGTCTGTAGTAAAAGCCAAGTTATAACCTGCTTTACCTTCTCAACGATACTGCTGTGAATACTGGGGAACACCTCTGTTCTGTAGAACTTCTCACTCTTTAGTATAGTATACTCTAGTATATCTTGGTTCTACAGTAGCCATGAGTCTCTGGAAGCCTTTATTTTCAACAAAGTTGAAAGGCTGATTGTCTGTAGCAATCATTTCTTTAATCAGCCTGTCTAGTTTTTTTGAGCGGACATCAGATGTCTTCGATGTTTATTAGCGAATTAATGGTTATATAGTAAATGTTTATATAATTACGGTGTTTTAAACAAGTGAATCTTGTTAAAAAAGTTACATGCGGTGGCCATGCTGGAGCATTTCATGAGCATCAACCACATCAAACCGGTGAGTGAACAGCAATATGAAAGCGGCTTCACGAGACTAATGATGAGCAAATATACAACAGAGAGAGAGAATTAAATTCAGCGCTTTTATTTTCAACTTGTGCTCATTCATGGCTGTATTATTTAATTCATGCAAAGTTACATCTTTATTGAGACAGGACTTGACGGATTATCTTACATGATTCCGTGAGCTCATCTCTATTTCTTAGAGACAAGCTGCATAAACTAGCTACATTTCAGGCATTTATGAAACCATCAAACCGGTGAGTGAACAGCAATATGAAAGCGGCTTCACGAGACTAATGATGAGCAAATATACAACAGAGAGAGAGAATTAAATTCAGCGCTTTTATTTTCAACTTGTGCTCATTCATGGCTGTATTATTTAATTCATGCAAAGTTACATCTTTATTGAGACAGGACTTGACGGATTATCTTACATGATTCCGTGAGCTCATCTCTATTTCTTAGAGACAAGCTGCATAAACTAGCTACATTTCAGGCATTTATGAAACACATCTAATTTGTGCATTAATGGTTGTGCGTTATGTTAAATAAAGTTTGCTAGCTAATTACAGCAAAGCAAGTAAGTATACTTTACCTGTGCACGCCATTGTCTCCCCTCCCCTCAGATGCGCTGTAATGGCGATCCTGCGTGCAATTCTCAAAACACCCACAAGATGGTGGCGTTTATCGGTAAATCCGATATTACAAAACCGATATCCGGTTATGGTAAAAATGCTTAAATATCGGGAAAAATATCTGTAAATCGATATATCGGTCGATCTGTAGAGGAAACCCACCAACATCACAGAGTTTAAGTGGTTCTGTACTGAGGAATGGGCTAACATTCCTACAAGCCGTTGTGCAGGACTGATCAGCAGTTACAAGAAACGCTACCTGCAGTTATTGCTGCAAAAGGGGGTCACACCAGATAGAATATAGAAAATTCTAAAGGGTTTACAAACTTTCAAGCAGCACTGTATTTCTAAATTACATAACAAGTACTTTAGTTTTCTTAAGTCGTATATTTTCATATCAAAACAACAGAATTTAAATTGCATCCAGTTTATTAGCAACAAAGCACATGAGCTTGAATCACACTATCCTCCTTTAATCTCATACTGTAGGTGGCTGACACACTACAAGATATGACAGCTGTCTGTCTCGACTGCACTTACTTCACTTCTCCTCTCACTACAGCCACCTGCTCTTGTCTAAATTCCAGGCAAAGCGAGGTGAATCTCAAACAAGTCCATTCATTGATCAGTGTAGACAGTGTCATTGATTTTAGCATTTACACATGTCTGTTTGTCTGTGACACGTGGATCTTTTGAAGGGGCACGTGAAAGAGACTTTTATTTGCTCAACTGGACAAGTGGCCTCATTAATAAAAACTAAGGATGCACTAAAACTTTGGTGAGAAGGATTCTGATTTTATTACATTCAGTGTAAATGGTGACTGATAATGGATAATGTATTGTCAGTAGCATGGTCGTGCCAGATGACGCTTGTGCAGCCTTACTGTGTTACGATTTCAATTTTTCCTTTCTCTTTGGAGTGTTACAAGCTCTTGGTGCATAAAGAAGATCTGTAAAGTTGCAAAGACTAAAGTTTCAAATCCAAAGAGATATTCTTTATAAAAGTTAAGAGTCAGCCACACCTACCTAAAACGGCTCGTTCTAACACGCCCCCCACATATCTACGTCACGGTGTGGGAAGATTTGCATAACGCCGCCCAAATGTTCACGCAAAGAAAGAAGGCGTAACTTTTATTCTGGCTGTAGTATTGTTGTTGCCACTATGTTGTGAATGAGACACTTTGTGCTTCATTGTGAAAGCGAAACTACTTTGTTTGGCCTTTGTCATTTCTCCGATCACAAATGCAGACATGGTTTTATGTTAAGCGGTTGCGATGCAACGCAACGTGTAAAAAGACGCCATAATTATGTCCCCACTGGATGCAACGAATGCCTCGTTTATAATGGGTTTTCATGATTTTGAATCATGGCTCCGGCCTGACAGGGTATCATTACAATGTGGTAAGGGGCGTAACATTTCCGTCACACACTTGAGGTATTCGGCCAATCACAACGCACTGGATAGCTGGCCAATCACAGCACACCTAGCTTTTTCAGACTGATGAGCTTTGTAAAAATCGACGCGTTTCAGAAAGGCGGGGCATAGAGGAGAAACAATAATGTACAGTATGTGGAAAATAATGTGTTTTTTTTAACCTTAAACCGCATAAACACATTTCATTACACCAAATACACAAAATAATGTTCTTTTTAGCAGCTTCATATGACCCCTTTAATGTGGCAAATACCACAGATATTTATGTTAAAGCTGATAAAACAGTGATGAGAATATTGCTTACAAATAAATGACATTTACAACAAATAAAAAAAATTCTTACATACAACTAACTTTTTTACTTGGACAAATGAATGATTGATTTACTTGTCCAAAGGACAATGGGACAGGGGTGTTCAATCGTGCTCCTGGAGGACAACTGTCCTATAGAGTTTAGCTCTAATCCCAATTAAAGCTAATCAATGTCTTTGGAAAACTTCAAAAACTTCTAGCAGATTTGTTGGGGCAAGTTGGAGCTAAACTCTGTAGGACACAGGCCGACCAAAAGCAAGTTTGGACACCCTGGTGTAGGATCTAGCATACATGGATTACATATCTACATGTTTTGATGTTGATTGCTTTGAGCCATTAAACTGGGGTTAACTCTTTTTGGTTTGTTTTTTCACCTTAGAGCTGATGGCACTGAAAGAGGAGAGGGAAGTACTGAATGAAATTGAGGAGAAAGATCGGTATGAGAATCTTCATGATTTCATTACTGGAGAAAAATCTTTTTGTTCCTTACAGTCTGAAAAGACTTCCACACAAATAAGAGCTCAAAAGACAGGAACTAGGAATTATTTTGCTTGCTTTCAGTGTGGAAAGACTTTCAATCAACAAGGAAAACTTAACAGGCACATGAAAATTCACAATAGAGAGAAGCCTAACGGATCCCCTCAGTGTGAAAAGAGTTTCAATCAAAATGGAAACCTTGATGTCCACAGCCTTTTTACCTGCCAACAGTGTGGAAACAGTTTCACTAATAAAGGAAGCCTTAACAAGCACATGAGAGTTCACACTGGAGAGAAGCCTTACACATGCAATCAGTGTGGAAAGAGTTTCAGTTTTCATGGAAACCTTAAAGTTCACATGAGAATTCACACTGGAGAGAAGCCTTACACATGCAATCAGTGTGGAAAGAGTTTCAGTTTTCATGGAAACCTTAAAGTTCACATGAGAATTCACACTGGAGAGAAGCCTTTCATCTGCAAACAGTGTGGAAAGAGTTTCAGTCAACATGTAAATCTTGAATCTCACATGAGAATTCACACTGGAGAGAAGCCTTTCACCTGCAAACAGTGTGGAAAGAGTTTCAGGCAACCTGGAAATCTTGTTCACCATATGAGAATTCACACTGGAGAAAAGCCTTTCACCTGCAAACAGTGTGGAAAAAGTTTCAGTCAACCTGGAACCCTTAATTACCATATGAGAGTTCACACTGAAAAGAAACCCTTCACCTGCCTTAAAGTCCACAGGCGAATTCACACTATGGAGAGATTTTTTACCTGCCAACAGTGTGGAAACAGTTTTACTCATAAAGGAAGTCTTAACAGGCACATGAGAACTCACACTGAGGAAAAGCCTTACATATGCCCTCAGTGTGGAAAGAGTTTCAGTCAAGAACGATACCTTGAAATTCACATGAGAATTCACACTAGAAAGAAGTTTCAACAGAAAAGGTAACCTTCAGTACCACATGAAGAATCTCTCCTCAAGAGGGACCTGTTTAAATGTTAAGTGTTGTATGAGTTTTACAGACAAGAAAAGCCAAAGAATCATTCAGAGACATCACATAACATCTTCCGTAGAGCTGCTTTACAGCTGAATCGCATCTTGCAACATTGACATTTGTTATATTTAACAAATAACCCCTAACACCCCTCACCCAACCAACAAGCCAACTATGACTTCCCCCGAAATGCAACTAATGCCTCAAAAAGGCAGAACCGGCCTCTGGTTCCATGGCAACCAAAGACAAATCATCTGATAACATTGGTTTTATTGCTTAAAGGAATGCGGGCAGAGCAACTCTCACTACATTTCCAAGACACATAATGCCCATAGAAAAGGACTCTTCTCTGAATAATTCATAGACAAACATTTCTGAGAATGAACACTCATATCCTCAGTTCATTGTGTGTATTATTACTGTTCTTGTATATTGTCTATTGTATTGTATACTGTTTTACACATGCGTTATGATAGAATCACTAGTTAATGTAACCTCACCTATACCATGTTAGGTATCTATGATTTGTGTTGATCTAAATGAGAGTGTATATTATATGTTGTAATGGAATTCTTTAATACGGTAAATTCTTTAATACATTCTAGGTAAGCACATTTTGAGAATTGAGAAGGTGACTGTAAGACTGTTTGACCTTTTCTTGCTAGAAAATAAACTTTCTTTAAAGTTTTATAAGAGACCTTGTAACGATCGGCTTTATTGGAAGATGTTACGTTTGTTAAAATGGGGTCAAGAGTATGATGTGCAAGAGCTTTGAGTGTTTAAAAAGATGAGACACAACAATGTTAAAAGTGAAAATCAAATATGTATTTACAATATTATGTTAAAAGCACAGTCTTTCAGTTCCATACCCTAAAACAATCCTTAATAAATCCAGTGTGTTGCTAGTCCCAAAGTGAATGTCCCAAAAGTGTCCACCGGTGTATATGCAAAAGTCCACTGTAGTGTTAATCCAAAGTGCTGGAAAAGTAGGTACTCCTTTAAAGCTTTTGGAAAAATCTCATCAACATCACACACTGTGCTTAGATTTTTCTCCTTAGCTACAGAAACTGGATCTCTCACGTTAGTCTCTTTTAAAGGGTTAGTTCACAAAAATGAAAATTCTGTCATTAATTACTCACCCTCAGGTCGTTCCAAACCCATAAAATCTCAGATTATCTTTGGAACACAAATTAAGATATTTTTGACGGAATCTGAGAGCTCTCTGATCCTCCATAGACAGCAAAAATATTACCACGATCAACGCACAGAAACATAGCAAGAACATCGGTAAAATAGTCCATGTGACATCAGGGGTTGAACTGTAATTTTACGAAGCTACGAAAATACTTGTGCGCAAAGAAAACAACGCTGATTACGTTCAGCGAAAGCATGTGCATACTGAACGTAAACAGCGCTGATTACGTTCTGGGGTACTCGCCAAAATGGTGGAAGACGGTAACTCGGGGAGAAGCGCTGAATAAATTGTTATTATTGTTTTCTTTGCACACAAAAAGTATTCTCATAGCTTCGTAAAATTACGGTTGAACCCCTGATGTCACATGGACTAATTGAGTAATTAATGACAAAATTTTCATTTTTGGGTGAACTAACCCTTTAACCCAACTGAGGAGCTCTGCACAGGATGGAGGAGGACATCACAGCAGACGCCTGCAGAAGCTGGATAAGACATTCTGAAAGATTTGTTCCATGATGGAATCTGAGAGCTCTCTGACCCTCCCATAGACAGCAAGGATATTACCACGATTAACGCACAGAAATGAAGCAAAGACATCGGTAAAATAGTCCATGTGACATCAGGGGTTGAACTGTAATTTTACGAAGCTACGAAAATACTTTTTGTGCGCAAAGAAAACAACGCTGATTACGTTCACCGAAAGCATGCGCATGCTGAACGTAAACAGCGCTGATTACGTTGATTACGTTCTGGGGTACTCTCCAAAATGGCGGAAGACGGTAACTCGGGGAGAAGCGCTGAATAAATTGTTATTATTGTTTTCTTTGCACACAAAAAGTATTCTCATAGCTTCGTAAAATTACGGTTGAACCCCTGATGTCACATGGACTAATTGAGTAATTAATGACAAAATTTTCATTTTTGGGTGAACTAACCCTTTAACCCAACTGAGGAGCTCTGCACAGGATGGAGGAGGACATCACAGCAGACGCCTGCAGAAGCTGGATAAGACATTCTGAAAGATTTGTTCCATGTTCCATTGTAAGGGAAGATATCCATTGTGATGTGGATGAAAATCTGTGGCTGACAGACTGCACTGTAATTCCTCATACAGTGCTGCATGCACATGAAAAGTTCAGCCTAAGAGCTGTTTCCTGTGATTACCTTTCTAGTTTAGCATTTTCCACTTGTCTTTTTCTTTTCTATATCACAATGACTGTCCAGTCGCTTCTCGATCAATATCCACATGCCATAATGTCTGTACTGTACTGTTGACATTGATATATGCCATACAGAAGTGCAGCATTGTACATTTTCAATACAGTAACTCATCCAAACTGTAGCCATAGTTTACATCAGGAAATAATGAATGAAAATCTGTGGCTGACAGACTGCACTGTAATTCCTCATACAGTGCTGCATGCACATGAAAAGTTCAGCCTAAGAGCTGTTTCCTGTGATTACCTTTCTAGTTTAGCATTTTCCACTTGTCTTTTTCTTTTCTATATCAATTGGCCAGTCGCTTCTCGATCAATATCCACATGCCATAATGTCTGTACTGTACTGCTGACATTGATGTATGCCATACAGAAGTGCAGCATTGTGCATTTTCAATACAGTAACTGTCATCCAAACTGTAGCCATAGTTTACATCAGGAAATAATGACAGAGTACACTGTTATATTGACAATATGACTAAACATCTTGTTTAATCAGTTACACAAGGATTTGTCATTATGATGGCACTGATATGTTCATTGAGATAAATGCTTTAGAGAGATGAACTAAGGATGTTGAGCAAGTTACAGGCTTTTGTAGGTAATGCATTGTGTGGTTTGTATGAACTGTTGTGAGAAATATACATACTGGTTTGCAAATATTAAGGATGATTCGAGAAATGCACCAAAGCGACTGAGAAAAACTGTAATTTTGTTTTTTTGCCTGAAGTGCAGGACACCCCAATAGTTTAAAAAGTACATGTCAAATAAAAACTCACCTAATTTTGGTAAAAAAATAAAGCAAAGTTGAAATATTTGTTTTCATTCAACTCAAATTCAAGTAAAAGCACCACAATTTATTTATACAAAAGAGCAGATTTTTTTTTTTACATTACATTACATTTAGCAGACGCTTTTATCCAAAGCGACTAATAAATGAGGATGATGGAAGCAATCAAACAAAAGAGCAATGATATGCAAGTGCTATGACAACTCTCAGTTAGCCTAACGCAGTACACATAGCAAGGTTTTTAAAATTAGATAATGAGAAAACAAATAGAATAGAAAAAGAATAGAGCAAGCTAGTGTTAGAGGCCTTTTTTGCTTTTTGTTATTTGTATAATAAATACAAAGAAAACAAACATAGAATACAAAAAGAACAGTGAAGCTAGTGCCAAGTTTTTTTTTTTTTTTTAAGAAAACAAGCAGTTAGTACAGTTAGAACAGAATTAGAATAGAGAGTGCTAGAGTTAGAGGGTCAAATAAAGATGGAAGATATGTGTTTTTAGCTGATTCTTGAAGATGGCTAAGGACTCAGTTGCTTGGATTGTGTTGGGCAGGTCATTCCACCAGGAGGAAACATTTAATGTAAAAGTCTGTGAAAGTGATTTTGTGCCTCTTTGGGATGGCACAATAAAGCGACGTTCACTTGCAGAACGCAAGCTTCTAGAGGGCACATAAGTCTTAAGTAATGAATTTAGGTAAAGGGGTGCAGAGCCAGTGATGGTTTTGTAGGCAAACATTAATGCCTTGAATTTTATGCGAGCAGCTATTGGTAGCCAGTGCAAATTGATGAACAGAGGTGTGACATGCATTCTTTTCGGCTCATTAAAAATTAATCTTGCTGCCGCATTCTGGATTAATTATAAAGGTTTGATAGAACTGGATGGAAGACCTGCCAAGAGAGCATTGCAATAGTCCAGCTGCAGGACCATGAAAACTCCAGGTAGTTTTAGCAATGTGGTCTGAGAAAGAACTCCAAGGTTTCTGGTTGTTTTTGAAGGAGTTATGGTTGATGTGCCTAACTAGATGGTGAAATTGAAGGTGATGGTCCTTCATCCAGCGAGAAATGTCTGTTAAACATGCTGAGATGCGAGCAGCTATCGTCGGATTATCAGGTTGGATTGAGAGGTAGAGCTGAATGTCATCAGCATAGCTATAGGGTTGACAGGAGGATCTGGTGGTTAACCGTGTCAAAAGCAGCTGACAGATCCAGCAAGATAAGTTTGGAAGATGTGCAATCCGCTCTTGCCAGTCTTAGGGCTTCAACAACTGAAAGCAAGGCAGTCTCGGTCGAATGTTCACTTCTGAAATCAGACTGGTTGCTGTCCAGGAGGTTCTGTGTTAGAAAGGCAGATACTTGGTTGAACACAGCTCATTCAAGTGTTTTTGCAATGAAAGGAAGAAGGGAAACTGAATTTTAAACTTAAATGTACTTAAAGCTGCAGTCTGTAACTTTTTTTGTGATCAAAATTTACAAAATTGATATAATAAGCAAGTACACCATGAATCCATTTTCCAAACCGTGTTTCTCGCTTATCCTGAATCACTACAGTACCTATAATAAGTGTTTATATTCTGACTATTTTAGACTGGTTCGGGTAGGTACCGCTACGGAGTAGCCCAGTACCTGCGTGATTCGTCATAGACATATACAGAGAGAAGTAGCTCTGGCTACAATGTTCTTCCGCAAGACGCATGCAGTTCTGTTTATTAACCGCTAGAGTGCCAAAAGTTACGGACTGCAGTTTTAAGTGTCTTGTTGATGTTTTTTTCTGAATTGGTATGGGATGTGGTTCAAAATGCAAAACAATTTCCTCCTGTGTGAACCGTCCTCTGGCAAAATTTCGCAAATTTTGTCTGCCATAATTATATCACCCATATTAAATAAAACATAACTCACCTTGTAACACTCCGCTTAATATACAAAGGAGGTTTACACAAGAACGACTCAAGCAGTTCAAAAAATAATTACAAACACAAGACAAGTGTCCATCCATATACCCAAGTGTATTATCAAGTCAACAGTGCACATACAAATAAACAACGTTAAAGGAGTCATGACATGAGAAACCAAATTTCCCTTGATCTTTTAAAACAGACATCAAAAGATCTTTTAATCTTTGTATGCTTAATACATCCTGCAAGGTTTATAACTTCTATCCTATGGGACAAGCTGACGTCAGCTTATGCTCAGTTTGCATAAACACAGCCTCCAGACCAACACATCGACATAGGCCCCGCCCACTGGCGTTCAGACGCTAACGGCTGACACTTGATCACGCTGAATGCGAGTGTCGTGTCGTGTCAAAAATAAATAGAAATTACAATCACTGTCGCTATCTTGTCTACACTGGATACAGTATACAGATGTGCGTTCACTTTCTGAGACAGTCCACACACTCTAGTCTGTCGTCAACATTCGCTTTGATGTGTTT